GGGCGGCAGGGCCAGGCCGCCTGGCTCCAGACAGCCCGTCTGCAGTCCCTCCTTGGGGTCAGCCGGCTGAGCAAGCCGCCCTCCGCAGAGCCCTGGGAGCCGCCCGTTTGGGCAGCCCGGTTACGTGCTGAGTGTCTCAAGTGGGGGGGTGCAGCAGGCCTTGGCAAGCCCCCACTGCCCCGTCCCTGCTGCCCCTTGGCTCTCTGTCCCCACGTGCCCCCCAGCCTCCCAGTGCCACCCCCAGTGAGCCGCTCAGTGTGCGTCTCCCCGGCTCTCCCGACGGCGCTGCTGGGAGCCCCCCAGCCTGCTTTCCCGCGCGGTTCTGCGGCCTCCCCTCCCCCGCCTGCTTTAAAGCGAGCCAGCGCTCAGCGGTGGCTTTCCTCCCTGCTGTATAATGGAGCAGTAATTCTGTGCCAGGGGCTGGTTTCGATTGGCTTTTAACAGGTTTATGAAGCAGCGTATGTAACTGAGTGAGTAAAGGAACGTTTCTGGAGCCCCCGAGGGCTTCGGGGTGGTCCTGGGCCTCCGCCCCTCCACGGGAGTCCTGCCACCAGCAGCAGCCGCGTGTCTGGGGGCTAACTGAGCGAACAACAAGGAGATGCTTTCACAGTGCTCGTCCCAGGGTGCTGGGCCGACTCCTGCCCCCACCCCCGCCCTGGGGGAGCCTGCCGGAAAGCAGGGTCTGAGCTGGAGAGGAAGGCGCTGGGTCATTAGCACCCGGGATTATGGTTGGCTTTGTGCTGGGAGTCAGAGTCATTCCTGCCCCTTGTGTGTTTGCATTGCAGTTTGTTTTGCCTCCAGCTGCGGAGGCTCCCCTTGGCGCCCAGTCCCTGTAAACAAACACCGGGCGCAGCAGAATCGCCTCGGGACCCAGGGGCAGATTTTTGATTTGCCCCCAGCGGAATCTACGCAGGGCTTCGGCAGGAGCACCTGGGCCTGCTCCGGGCCGGGCCACAGTAGCAACGCGCGAGCCGGGCGTTCGAGTGCGTCACTCCGCTCTGCGGTCGCATTGCGCGCCTTCCTCCCTCATAGAGCAGGTCTCGCCGGATAGTCTTACTGCCGCACGGAGCAGGTCTCGCCCACTGATCCCCCCCGGAGCAGGTCTCGCCGGATAGTCTTACTGCCGCACGGAGCAGGTCTCGCCCACTGATCCCCCCCGGAGCAGGTCTCGCCGGATAGTCTTACTGCCGCACGGAGCAGGTCTCGCCCACTGATCCCCCCCGGAGCAGGTCTCGCCGGATAGTCTTACTGCCGCACGGAGCAGGTCTCGCCCACTGATCCCCCCCGGAGCAGGTCTCGCCGGATAGTCTTACTGCCGCACGGAGCAGGTCTCGCCCACTGATCCCCCCCGGAGCAGGTCTCGCCGGATAGTCTTACTGCCGCACGGAGCAGGTCTCGCCCACTGATCCCCCCCGGAGCAGGTCTCGCCGGATAGTCTTACTGCCGCACGGAGCAGGTCTCGCCCACTGATCCCCCCCGGAGCAGGTCTCGCCGGATAGTCTTACTGCCGCACGGAGCAGGTCTCGCCCACTGATCCCCCCCGGAGCAGGTCTCGCCGGATAGTCTTACTGCCGCACGGAGCAGGTCTCGCCCACTGATCCCCCCCGGAGCAGGTCTCGCCGGATAGTCTTACTGCCGCACGGAGCAGGTCTCGCCCACTGATCCCCCCCGGAGCAGGTCTCGCCGGATAGTCTTACTGCCGCACGGAGCAGGTCTCGCCCACTGATCCCCCCCGGAGCAGGTCTCGCCGGATAGTCTTACTGCCGCACGGAGCAGGTCTCGCCCACTGATCCCCCCCGGAGCAGGTCTCGCCGGATAGTCTTACTGCCGCACGGAGCAGGTCTCGCCCACTGATCCCCCCCGGAGCAGGTCTCGCCGGATAGTCTTACTGCCGCACGGAGCAGGTCTCGCCCACTGATCCCCCCCGGAGCAGGTCTCGCCGGATAGTCTTACTGCCGCACGGAGCAGGTCTCGCCCACTGATCCCCCCCGGAGCAGGTCTCGCCGGATAGTCTTACTGCCGCACGGAGCAGGTCTCGCCCACTGATCCCCCCCGGAGCAGGTCTCGCCGGATAGTCTTACTGCCGCACGGAGCAGGTCTCGCCCACTGATCCCCCCCGGAGCAGGTCTCGCCGGATAGTCTTACTGCCGCACGGAGCAGGTCTCGCCCACTGATCCCCCCCGGAGCAGGTCTCGCCGGATAGTCTTACTGCCGCACGGAGCAGGTCTCGCCCACTGATCCCCCCCGGAGCAGGTCTCGCCGGATAGTCTTACTGCCGCACGGAGCAGGTCTCGCCCACTGATCCCCCCCGGAGCAGGTCTCGCCGGATAGTCTTACTGCCGCACGGAGCAGGTCTCGCCCACTGATCCCCCCCGGAGCAGGTCTCGCCGGATAGTCTTACTGCCGCACGGAGCAGGTCTCGCCCACTGATCCCCCCCGGAGCAGGTCTCGCCGGATAGTCTTACTGCCGCACGGAGCAGGTCTCGCCCACTGATCCCCCCCGGAGCAGGTCTCGCCGGATAGTCTTACTGCCGCACGGAGCAGGTCTCGCCCACTGATCCCCCCCGGAGCAGGTCTCGCCGGATAGTCTTACTGCCGCACGGAGCAGGTCTCGCCCACTGATCCCCCCCGGAGCAGGTCTCGCCGGATAGTCTTACTGCCGCACGGAGCAGGTCTCGCCCACTGATCCCCCCCGGAGCAGGTCTCGCCGGATAGTCTTACTGCCGCACGGAGCAGGTCTCGCCCACTGATCCCCCCCGGAGCAGGTCTCGCCGGATAGTCTTACTGCCGCACGGAGCAGGTCTCGCCCACTGATCCCGCACGGAGTGGGTCTCGCCCACTGATCCCGCACGGAGCGGGTCTCGCCCACGGATCCCGCACGGAGCGGGTCTCGCCCACTGATCCCCCACGGAGCGGGTCTCGCCCACTGATCCCCCACGGAGCAGGTCTCGCCCACTGATCCCCCACGGAGCAGGTCTCGCCGGATAGTCTTACTGCCGCACGGAGCGCCCGCTGATCCCCCACGGAGCGGGTCTCGCCCGCTGATCCCCCACGGAGCGGGTCTCGCCCGATGCGATTCACCTTTGCGGCATCCAGTGCTCGCGCTTTTGGCAAGTCCCTCCTCTGCTGCCTCTTTCTGGGCAGGCTGAGTGCAGCTACTGCCCTGCCACTGGCACCGGAAAGGCGGCCTGGTAGGGAACGCGCAGAGCGGGCAGCCCAGGCGTTTGGCATTTCTAGAGTGTGTGGAGATGAGGTTTAGCCACTGGCGGGCAGCAGCCAGGTCTGGTAAGGAAACCCGGCTCTGCTCAGAGCATGCCAGGGAGTCAGCAGTACCTAGGGCTTTCCAGAGGCCAGGCAGAAGGCGGGCAGTGGGCATAAACTCGTGGTGTTCTTCCCTGCGAGGTAGCGGCTCTGCTTTCAGTGCCTAGCCAAACTATTCCACTCAGCCTTAAAGACCAGGACACCGACATATGGTTCACCCCCCGACAGCTGAAGGCATGTCTGGTGGCTTCGCTTCATCTGTGATTCAGCAGCAAGGCCCCGGGGAGACAGGCTCCAGCTTTCAGAGCCTCTGGTCCACTTGTGCTAAGACTTAGCATCCCCTGCTGGGACCGTCTGGCTCTCCTTGGTGACACTGACAGGCAGTGTCATGGAGCAGACCCAGCAAAGGGACTAGCAGTCTAGGAAGGTGGGTGCTTTCTCTGCACTGCCACTGACAGACTTCGTGACCTTGGGCAAGTCACTTAAACTCTCCACACTTCCGTTCTGCGGTCTGTGAAATGGGCCTGGCGGTATTCACCCAGGGTTACAAAGCACTTTGCTGTCATGCGATGCTAAAAATGTCTGCTAGTGCAAATAATTGTGAGCTGTAGACGTGCAAAGTACCCCAGGAATGGCAAGGGGGTAACGCGCTACAGCAAAACTCCACAAGTCTAGAACAGGGAGTGAGGGACACTGGCTGAAATGAAACGAGAGGTGTTTATTAGACTAGAGTAGTGCCACAGACGTACCACAGAATCCGAACTGGACACGGGTCTTTACAAACTCCGACAAAGTCCCGTTTCACCCGCAAGCTGTAATGTGACAAGTCCCTCTGGAATTTAGCCGAGGTCTTATCACATCACACAGATCAGCGCGACTGGAAGTCGGCTTGGAAGAGGCTCAGAGATGGCAGAGCCATGGGGCCGGTCGGAGGTGCTGGGGGGTGAGCAGTGGGTTAGCAAGACATGCTGCAGGGCTGGTTCGAGGGGCGTTGGCAAAGTTGGGGGGTTTTGCTTGCGTGGTGCTTCCGTCACACTCGGTCATGGCACCGACAGCTGGGCCTCCATTGCTGAGAGCAACGGGCCTTCCCTTGAGTGTCACCGAGGAGTCTGACGGACACCAAGCAATGGGGCGGGGCGAGGGGCTGGCTTTCGAAGCCAGGAATCCGGGCTGGGAGGCCAGTTCCCACAGGTCACTGCCGGCTGCCAGGAGCAGGGTGTGGTGCTTCCGTCACACTCGGTCATGGCACCGACAGCTGGGCCTCCATTGCTGAGAGCAACGGGCCTTCCCTTGAGTGTCACCGAGGAGTCTGACGGACACCAAGCAATGGGGCGGGGCGAGGGGCTGGCTTTCGAAGCCAGGAATCCGGGCTGGGAGGCCAGTTCCCACAGGTCACTGCCGGCTGCCAGGAGCAGGGTGGGACTGGCTGGCACTGAAGCCAGAGGAGAGGAGACTCAAGTTGTTCTCCCTAGGCTGGCATGTGCCGGCGGGCCCGTGCAGAGAGGGTGCCTCAGCCCCGTGCGGGAGGGACGAAGGGTCCCCAGAGTGTGGCTGGGTAGGTGAGAACTGGACAGAATCCTGTCGCAGGGCCAGGACTCCCTGAACCGAGGATCGCTGTGATCGCGGGGCCCCGGGGGTTCTTGGGCAGCGGCGAACCTGGCGCGCAGGGAGAGCACCTGGACGGGGGTGCCCTGGGATTGCTGAGGGCTGGGTCAGTCGAAGGCTGCTTAGTCTGCTTTCCAGCAGCCTTGCAACCTCCTCCCCGCCCGGGAGCAACTGGAGATGGGCAAGTCACACAGCAGGAGACTTTGCCCTCGTTGCGCGGCCAGCGTCCGGCTCGACTCCCTGTGTGGCGGGGCCCTGGCCTGGCCCCCTCACCGCAGTGTCTGAGCGCCTCCTGGCCTTGAACGCCTTTGTCCTCACGCCCACCAGGCGCTGATCCCATTGGACAGCGGGGCCCTGCTGGCTAAGTGACATGCCCAGGGTCACACAGGAAGCCTGAGGCAGAGGAGGGGATAATGGTGCCTTGGCTCCTGAATATTCACTGAGCTGATGCAAAGCTGGGGGGGGGTAACTGGAGATGTGACCTTGTCAGACTGGCCCCTGCTGGCTGGGCGGGCGAGTCCCATCAGCCGGTACCATTACCCCCAGCGGCAGGGGGTGGGAGTGTGAGCCGGGCTTTGCCCATTGCTCTCCGCTGCCTCCCTGGCTCTGTTCAGCACCAGCAAAGGCAAACTGCCGGGGACTTGCGAAAGAGCCGGCTTGATCTGGGATCGCTGGGCTGGTGATCTCTTCACAAGTCACTGTGGTGCTGGCTGTCAGTCCGGCAGGGTCCTGAGCATGCCCAGCCCCTGCTGACCTCAGTGGAATTGCGGGTACTCGGCCCTCTGAAAGCTCTGCCTGGATGAAAGCTCCTGTCACTGTCTCCCCCTGGGTTTGACACCTCGGTGCCGGTGCCTCGCCAGACACCTGTGGGCAGCAGCTGTGCCCCGTAGAGCCAGTGACACGGCCGTGTGTGCAATCTCCTTCCATCGCCCCCCTGGTGTTTGGCCAGGTGGGTGGGACTGGGACCGAGACACCCGGGGGGGGGACACCACCCAGACAAGCTGGCGTTTACTGGAACCTGCTTTTCCCATTTTCTCCAAAGCTGCCGCTTTGAAAAGTGCCGCCCTCCAACCCTGCCTTTTCTCTCTTCCTCTTCCAGCCAAACACCTGAACGAGGTCATCGTGGGCAGCGAGCAGCTGATGGAAATCTAGCCAGGGCCCCCACCGTCGCGAGATGGCTCGTCTGGAGCAGGCCTGGCAGAGCGTGCGCTGTCATCCCTCCTTTCCCGGCCAGCCCTGGGTTTGTGTCTTAATAAAGAAGCGTTTCCCCAGTGGTCTGTCTCTCTCCGCCCCCCGCCTTGCAGATCTGCCCGCTGCTTTGTGCAGGGTCAGAGCAGCTCCTGCCCGCGGCGCGAATGCACCAGGCTTTTCAGCAGCGCTGCCGGCGGGGCCACACGCAGACCGGCGGGGCCCCTCTCGGCCAGACCCAAACTGCGGCGCTGGGGGCTTGCACCGCACTCCCTGTGCCCCGGGGAAGCCAGGAGCAGCTTTGTGCGTGGAGGGCTGGGCGAGCCCGGCAGCAAAGCCGCGTTGCCTCCTCGCCGTTCCTGCAGCTCTCCCGCCCCCGCTCCTGCACTGGGGCAGACACGCTGAGTCGCCGCAGCTGGTTTTAGTCTAGTCTGCGATGGAGGCGGGCGTGCCAAAGGCGTTCCCACACGTCCCCTCTGGATTTGGCCTGGTGCTTTGAAACGGAGCCCAAGCCCGCGTGTGGGGAGGCGGGAAGGAGGGAACCTGAACGGAATTACCCGTTCTGTCACGAGCCGTGCGCTCAGCCCCGCTGCTGGAGAGCCAGACGCGAGCTCCCTGTCCGCGCGCTTACGCTGCATGGGGCTGACTCACCAGGCCATGAGGAACAAGCTGGCATGGGAAATCCGGGCTTGTGGGGCTGAAAGCACCTGGATGCGATGGAGGCATTGCACGCTGCTCTTGCAGCTTTGCCAGTTGCACTGGGGTCCCTGCCGCACAGCTCTCACTGGAGTCTGGCCCGTGTCAGCAGGGCGCTTGGACGTGGGGAGGCGCTTCCAGCTACGGGCTGGGAGACACAATATTTCATTAACTCCGAGATCAATTCAAAGGCATGTCCCGTGGGCACAGACACACCCTCACAGCTTCCTGGCCACCCCGGGTGGGAGAAGGAATCCAGCCCTGCCCTGCCTTTCAGACATGGCACAAAACCACATGCAAGGCCCGCCTAATGACGGGGGTGGGGGAAGAGGCTGAGGTAGCCGCGGGCGAGCACCACACAAGGTACGAGTTCTGTTCAGGTTGGCATCGCCTGAGAGGCCGGGGCGGGAATAGACGCCACATCCCTTTCCTCCCAGGCTATGCCGGCGTTCGTGAGCGCTGCCGTGCCGGAGGCCCATTTTACAGGTGGAAACAGAAGGCACAGAGGCGCAAGTGACTCGCTGACAGTTCCTCTAGAAATCTCAGGACCAGGCACCTCCTGGGGCTCTCCTTCCCTTCCATTGATCTCCCACATCTTAAAACCAGCTTCCCGTAGGCCAGTAGCTTCAGGTTTGGTCTCAGGGCCGAAACGCTGCGCTAACAGCTCGCTCTAGCCCTCTGGTGTAGCTCAGCTCAGGAGAAGCTCTTCCTCGCGCCGGTGGAATGGCGGTGCTGGGCGCTCGCCGGCACTCCGGCCTGCCGGGGCCCTGAGGAGTATTCCTCTCCCCTGTACGACCGGCAGGAGTTTGGGGGGAGAGAGAAGTAGATCGCAGCGCGAGATTTCACAGGCCAAAGTATCAAAGCGAAGAGTCGCTCTTGGTGTACTCGACGTGTGGCGGGAAGGACGAAGGCTAATTCGGAAGAGTCCTTCCTTCCCCCAGGCAGCCACCGGGACTTACCCCTCGCCCACCGGGGCGACTCTTCAAAACTAGCAGCCGGTGACATTTTCAGAAGGGCCTAAGGACGTCGGTGACTTTTGAAAATAGGACTCAGGCTCCTAAGCCACGTCCGTGCTTGTGAAAACGGCCTTTGCCACATAACTCGGAGTGCAAATCTGGCTTCTCCATAAGTACCGGCCCTTACCTGTGGCCTCGCTCGCGGCTGATCCTACTGGGCCGTAGCAAGCGAGCGAGCGGCTGACTGTTACTGTTTGCAGTGTGCCCTTCAGCAGGGCCTGCACCTTTGAAAGCCTCAGACGTGCCCACCCGCTGTGGGGGCTGCGGCTCTTGGAGCAGGCTTGACCTGGAGCGTTCCAAGGGGGGACACAGCTGGCTCTTGGCCTTCTCCCTGCTGTGCGAAGGCTCGTGAACCGGGCAAGTCCTGCCGGGTGTCCTGAATGCAGCAAGGCCAGGGCTGGTATGTCCAGCGACGGGGAGCCTGCTGCTGCGAAGACCCGACCCCTGGCTCCTGAGCATTGGGACCTGGGCTCTGGCCCCCTCAGCAGCTCTCCGCTCAGTTGCCGGGACAGGTCTGAGGGGGAGACCCAGCCTCTCGGACGCGCCGTCGGCCTGGCGGCAGGACCTTGCCCCCTGAGCGGCCGCAGGGAACGTGCAGCCAGGCTGGCCAGAGACAGGAGGCCTAGCAGGTCGCGGCGGCCGGTCGGGGGAGCTTGGCGCACGCAGGAATCTTCCGGAGCCGAGGGTGCATTTGCCTGGCCAGTGGGCAGGTGCTGTCTGTGGGAGACGAACTCGGGGCTCCTGCCGAAAGGCAGCCCAGAGCGTGTGGCTGCGGAGTGCCAGGGCCCAGGCCGGCTGGGAGACGCCACGAGCTGGGAGGAGCAGAGAAGCGGCTTGTGGCCAGCAGTGCCCAGCGTCACTAGCCGTCGGTGCGGCGTGGCCGGTGGAGGCCACGTGCCCAGGGCGAAGCCGAGCTCTCCAATCCACGGTCTGTGGAGGGGGATGCAGCAGGCTGGGGACGGGCCACAAGGGAGATCATCCGACCGTGTGTCCACTGCGCTTCCCTCCGGCCTCTCCAGTGGGCCCTGGCGGGGGAGAGGACCGAGAACGCCTCGCAGCTGCCCGGGGAGATCTCGCGGCTTTGGCCCCAGTGCGAGCGCCGGGACGGTCCTGCTCCCAGCTGCTGGGCAGGCCTGCGCCTCACCTGCCTTTCCCCGGCACTCAGAGACCGTCGCGGAGCTGGAAGGTGCCTCCCCTCCAACGATCTTCATCCAAAGCCGCGTGGTTCCTGCTGGCTTCAGTGCTCCCCCCTCCCCGCCTGCCTGTTTCCTGCCTCGCCCGCTTGGTTTGGCTGCGTGGGCTTGGGCTCCTGGAGGAGGGTTTGTCACGATGCCCCGCTGCTCCTTCCAGCTGGGGATCGTCCCAGGCCAGTGGCCCAGAATGACTCCCAGCTGCCGCGCGGGCCAGAGGCAGAGAAGTTCGAGCGTCTCAGAGCTGCGCGTCTGGGGCTCTGCCCGTTGGCCGCACGCTGGGATTGCCGAGCGCCTGCAGGTGGCTTCCCAGCGGGCGAGCGGGGTCCCTCGCCCGCCGAACCCCCAATCTGGGCTTCGGCAGGGCCCCCCAGTGCACAAAGAGGGCTACAGAGCAAAGCGCTGCCTGAGCCCCGGCTCGGTGCGCTGGGAGAAAGGGGCTTGTGCTGAGGCACAGGGCAGAGCTGCCAACTTGAGCCGACCTGTTCTGGCTCCCGCC